TTCAGAAAATCAAGGAAATAGGTAAACAGGTGAGATAGGTAGGGCTAGTAATTGACTCCAAGGTGACTCCACACTTGTGGAGCCATCTATGTGTAAAAATGGGCATGGCATGTACATATATGCCATCCCTGTCAGCAAAGGGTTACAAAATGAAATTTTCAAGACAAGACTGCTTTCAACATTTCCCTAGGAACAAGTGATGGTCAAGAGCCTTACCTGATGGTCTTGAAGGAACCACGGACGAACGGAGATCAACGCAGCCTCCTCTTCGGAGAATCATCCTCCTTCCACTGAGATCCTGTATATCACTTCTTTCAATTAACTGGGAAAGAAATTGTATGGAAATATACTAACTAAAGTGCAAAATAAGACTTGAACATAAAAGAATACTCTAGAACACTCATATTCTACCTTAAGCATAACCATCTTGTATTCACATGCAAGATTTCGGTGCCATTCTCTTTCAGAATGAGTAATAACTTACAAAAAGTAAACCCTCCATTTATGAAAGCTTTCAGTACAAACTATACAAAGCCACACTCTACCTGTGCAGCTGCAGCAGCAACAGAAGAAGACGAGGTGTCGTCATGAGAACGCCTCCTCTCACTAGTCTCACTGGCGTCAATGCAAGGGTGTTCCAGCATCCATGTCACTAGCTGGTTGATTTGAGCTGCTGATGGTTCACCTTTGTGGCCTGCAAAGTCATAACAGTGGTCTATGAGTTTCTAGTATTCCAATTCAAAGATCAACTTTCAATTCAGAGGTGCAAGGCTTAAGCTTAACAAGCATTTTGCCAATCCTCACCTTGGGCAGCAATAGCTTTCTGAATGTGTTTGAGCGAGAATCCCATCTCCAGCAACGGAGTGGCGATTGGGGGAGGCAAGGGAGGGAGGGGGGTCAGAGGAGGTGAAGGAGAGTGACTCCTTGCCATGGGGGGAAGTGGGGCACTCTGGGGGGTCAGGGGGCCCACAGATCGACCCCTTGAAGGACTATGGGTTGTGCGAGACGACTGGGAGGCAGAGTGTATAGAGTGCACTTCCCCTCCAGGATGACTAGCTGGAGCACATGGTACTGTTATGGGCAGACCTAGGGAAGGAATTGGTCGTTTGGGGGCTCTCACATCTGTTCCTGTTGTAGGAAGTTCGGTGATGATACTCTGTGGCCGTTCTGTCGCCTCCACAATCTGGAAGAAATCAAAATATTTCAAACCTGTACATACAGCACACCAAGAAATTCTCAGATGAATGATCCTAACAAAACATCAGTTTACAGGGGAGAGTCCACAGAAAAGCTTGCTCACCTGATCTGTAGTTCTTTCTTCATTTGCTGTCAGAGCCATGATGCGAGACTGGGTGTCAGCAACACTGAGGCTGTCTTCTGCCCAGGCTCTCATGCACATGCTATGAAGAACTAGGTGTGATCGCTCCACTTCAGCCACACTCACTTGCCTAGAAATTTATTCAATTCATATAAATCATGTCTGCAAAACTTCTTTTGACACCAAACATTTAAAATAGTATGGACTTGTATTGCAAATTATATACATAAAGCCAAATGGATTTTTCCATGTCCTTCTGTATTTGCATAATTCATTGGACAACCACTTTTGACACAATTACTACCAACAATCCATTGGGAAATACATTTTTTGGATGGAGGTATAAAGAATTGCCCACAAACATTAACCACAGTGGAATGAGAGGGGAAATCCCAGTTCCTAGTGACCCCAGCTCTAGGGACTGAATGCAGTCCTCTGGATATAAAGGCTTTAGATCACAGTGGCAGTAATACATTAATCTACAGCCCATCTTCCTTTCTGTACAGATACAAAATACTAGAATATACATATGACAAATAACCCCTATTTACAATGAACTTCATTACATACACAATACAATATAAATGTTCTAAGGAAACTTAATTTCCATAAAAACAGTATGAGCAAAAATTATAAAAAATGAGAAATGTTACATATAAATAAAGAGGGAAAAAAGGAAAAATAAAAATACACCTTTATCCTTTCTAGCAAACATACCTCTTTAGTGGCTGAGCTAATGTACAAGCAGAAACCAGATGTCTGACAAGAACTCTTATTGCTGTGCGGATTTCATCTTCTTCATGTAAAAGGGACACAGAACTACCCTTTTCACCACCATCCTGTTTTAAAGTACAATGATTTAGATTTAATTATGGTTTAACTATCTCATAGGTCTTCTAAATTTCTACCTTTCCTCCTAGATGAAAATACACAAAAAACATGTGGTATTAAAATGAAAATAGCCATAAGAAGATATTAAATTGTGGCTGTTTTCCTTTTCATATTTGGGTACATGTTACTGTGTTTGTATATAGTATTATATATACTAGAAGCAAACAGAGAGTTTTGTAAGTTAAAATTAAAAATAACCAGATATTCCCTTCACTTAAGCATACAAACCTTTTCCTGAGCAGCCTTGGGAACCAGCAGCATCTCTGCATAGCGCGTGCAGTTCATGATAGCACAAATGGCACGCAAACTAGCACTCTGGAGGAATGCCAAGCGCAGTGCCATGCCTTCCTCTACTGCTAACTCCCCTGTCTGAAGAGAAAAGAATATATACATGAGATATTCTTTTGCTAACTGGAATATATCCACTTTGCCATTTAAAAAAGGTTATACATATTCAGTCAAAATCATCTCATTATCATTTAATATCCCATGTCCACAAAGCCAAGATGACAGACAACTTCACCAAGGTGTACTAAATCGCAGGTATTTACATTAGTTACCTGAGGAGAATCTTTTTGCATTGGCACTACCGGCTCTTGCTGCTCCGGGACTTCTACTGATCTCCCAGTTACCTCATCCATAATGTTCGTAACAAGCTGGTCTGTCAACAGCTCCATTGTCAAGCCATCACCACTTCCCCTGTAATGAAACTCAATCAATATCTAGGACTATTAACTGTTATTGGTACATTTCAGTGTACCAGGATTACATCTGATGAAGCCATCTAGGTGATAGACTTCAATCACATACCATGTTTTAAGATGCTAGTCTCAATTATACTTTCTTTATATGACTGTTCATATCACGTGAGCTCATATCATTACGATCTTATACAACAAAAGACACAGATGAGTATACAGACCAAATGAATATAAAACACTTCATTTTTTCTGAATTCAAAGCTTACCCGTCAAGTAAAAACTAACCTGGACCCTTTGCGAGGACTTGGTGAGTGTGATGGCCCACTTGAGTTCACTGCATTTTGGGACTTTGCTTCTTCATGTGCTTGGGGAAGGTGTGGGGAAATCAGGCTGCCTGTAGATGAAGTATGCACCTCATCTGTCTCATGGTTGTAGGTGACTTTTGGGAACTCAATCTGTGGCGTGGGTAATGTGGGTGAATACATGCAGAAGTTCTTAGTACATAAAGGGGCTTATTTTTCTTAAATCAGGGTTTCTTAAAATTCCATAGTACAAAACTGCCATTTCAAAAAATGAACAATTCCTAAACATAAAAATAAAAATTCCAAACACTGCAAACAAATTAAAATCACTTAAATGCAAAACAAAACAATTCAGTATTTGTAATTTTGAAATCATCTTACTTTCAAAATGTATAAGAATTTTTCATAACAGTTCAGTCACCAGGCTTAACCCCTTGGTGCCGGGTGACGCCGATCGGCGTGTAAACAAAGAGCTCGAAAGCTGGCGTGCAGCCAAACGAGCCGGCGGCGCGCCAGTGTGGCGAGCCAGTGATTCGGGCTGATGTCCCCTACTCACGCACTCAAAGTCGGCGCGCCGCCTTTGTTTGTTTAAGCAGAGTTTTTTTTTTCTTTTGTACACCCAGCGCCATTGGGTTAAGAATTTAATCCTACTATTCTGTAGATCAGCAAGTCTGGATAACATATTCCTATAAATTCTGACATGACCTGCAAACATCCAAAACTTTAAATTGCTAACTAGGTGATGCCAACTGTTACTCTCAAATTCCTATTAAACTTCTGGATATCTAAAAATCATCAAAATGAACAAAACATAATTTGGGCTTTCACTCTCTAGTTTTCTTTAACCCAAAGCCGACAGGCATGGCATTTTCATACATGCCATATGCCATACCGACTGTGAGTTTACTTTATTATTTGTTTTTACACACAGATGGCTACACTAAGTCACCAATGAGCCAATTATGAGTACTGCCTGTCTCGGCTGTTTACCCTTTACCTTGATTTTCAAAAATATTTTGTTATCTTATATTACTGTTACTTATATAAATAATATCATGGTAATTATAATGTCTATGATAAAAATAACATCATTGATATTCACAGCACATTTCCTAGGCAAATTCAAGGAAAAGTGAAATCAGGTAAGGTCACAATGTATCTATGTACAGAGATTTCACCAAAAATTTTAAAATGAGCACAGAATTTTCCTGGGGACAATAAAAATACAGTTGTAGACTAACCTCTTGGGTAAGCCCAGCCAGTCGCATGATCTGTGTAATGACCTGAGCTGTTATGCCAGTCATTTTTGAGACATCAAAAGGTGGTGGTTCCACTGGCTCCAAGAAAGATACTGGCACATCACTAATACTTGTATCCCAGTCACACCATTGTACCTAAAAAATCAACAATATAATTACAGTTGTAGATTAATAACATTGATAACATAGTTTCCCAAAAATATTGAAGGAAAACCAAATATCATACTTCTCCCCCATACCAAGAAATTCTGCCCATTTTATATTGTCAAACTTTAATATCAGATCATTAACAATATATCATTCAAGACTCTAACTCTTTACCTTCACAGCAGGATGCCCCTGACGCAGAGCACCCAGAACCATGGCCCTGCGACCTGTGCCCTTCTGGACGCATTGACCCCCAACGCGCAACCCGCTGTCCACTCCACCAATCATGGCAAGAGCAGGATAAACCTCTTTGCACAGCTGCTCAAGATTCATTTCATATACGAGATTCTGTTTGCAGGACTTCCCTTTCAGAGTTTTCTTCTCCTGACCGATGGAATCCGAGCCTGATCTGGGAGTTGCTCTTGGGGTGTTCCTATCGTCGTCATCTGAGCAGGACCCGGTCTTCTTCTTCGTTCGTTCTTCTTGCTCCAGTCGTTCGTCAAGAGTTAAAACAAGGTCTTCCCGAGAAGTTTCTCTTGATGTCTGAACCTCGCTTGCGTTTACAAGTGGTTCAAAGTCAAAGGCTGGATCTTCAGTGTCTGACTCACTCTTTGATACTGTTTCTACACTCTCAGGAACATCTTTTGGTTGGGGTATGAGCTCTTTAGTCTGGTTCAGTCTTTCTATTATGCAGTCATTCACTTGCTGTGTCCAGATGGGTGCTTCGTGCAGTTGACGAAGCAGAGCAATGTGAGCCTCTGCCAGCACAGCTGCCTGAGGAGCACACAGAGGGTCCCCAGGATCGAGGTCTCTTGGGGAGCCTCTCACCTGCATGTCTACCATCTTCACTTTTTCTCCAGGATTGGTGCTGTAAAACATCACACATGGGTATAGCTCTGTTGCATCAATGTTCTCAAAAGCAAGACGTGGTTCTTCCCCATTCTTTCCAAAGCTGAGAGTTCTGGCTTCCATGTCAAGTACAACTGTAATGTAGTCTCCCTGTGTGAAGCTTGGAAGTGAAATACTAAGTTCCCCATTATGGTAGAGGTTCCCAGAATATGCTCTATACAGCCACATATCTGATGACGTCCTATGGCTGTAGTCTCGCACAGGGTACTTCGAAACCCCGACACAAGTACCTTCATTACCTCTGTTCTCCTTTACAATGAGGAATTTCCACTGGTAACATCCGGAAGTTATTGGTGTGGATCCTAGGCCATATCCTCTTCCACCTGGCCCGTGCACAAGTGTGTGGCCTCCTTCTACGGAGCAACAGACAGACTTATCAGGGTCGAATCCAACCTCCTGTACGGGAAGGTTATCATCAGGAGACTCTGGCCGAGACTGTTCATCAAGTAGATCTGGACTGGAGAGCCTGACCAGATGACGCTGCAGTTCCATGAGTAACTGGCTGGCCTTAAGATGTGCCTGAGCTGATGGTATCACCCACATATTGGCTGCTAGTTGCATAAACAGCTGCCTTACAACTTGTTCACGTGCCTCAAGGTCAAGATCAGAATATGGAAGAGTTGCTCCAAGGAGGGTAAGTGCCAACACTCGTGTCCTAACACTGATCATCTGTGGTAGGTGAGTCTCTGCCTGCTCTCCCGTCACTAACAATAATAACCGCACCCAAGGATGCCTGCCAACTAGCTCTCTCACCCTTCGGTTTACACATAAACGACGGACAAACACAAGCAGGTTACCAAGGGTCACTTCCAAATGTCTACGTTTCCTTGCATCTCCCGTACTATTGCTCACTTGTTCTGCATTCAATCCCGGAAGATGTAATTCCAACTTTCTTTGGCCAGCCTTCTTTTCTTTTACATTGGTTATGCAGGAACATTTGGTGGGTATGAGCTCTTTAGTCTGGTTCAGTCTTTCTATTATGCAGTCATTCACTTGCTGTGTCCAGATGGGTGCTTCGTGCAGTTGACGAAGCAGAGCAATGTGAGCCTCTGCCAGCACAGGCTGCCTGAGGAGCACACAGAGGGTCCCCAGGATCGAGGTCTCTTGGGGAGCCTCTCACCTGCATGTCTACCATCTTCACTTTTTCTCCAGGATTGGTGCTGTAAAACATCACACATGGGTATAGCTCTGTTGCATCAATGTTCTCAAAAGCAAGACGTGGTTCTTCCCCATTCTTTCCAAAGCTGAGAGTTCTGGCTTCCATGTCAAGTACAACTGTAATGTAGTCTCCCTGTGTGAAGCTTGGAAGTGAAATACTAAGTTCCCCATTATGGTAGAGGTTCCCAGAGTATGCTCTATACAGCCACATATCTGATGACGTCCTATGGCTGTAGTCTCGCACAGGGTACTTCGAAACCCCGACACAAGTACCTTCATTACCTCTGTTCTCCTTTACAATGAGGAATTTCCACTGGTAACATCCGGAAGTTATTGGTGTGGATCCTAGGCCATATCCTCTTCCACCTGGCCCGTGCACAAGTGTGTGGCCTCCTTCTACAGAGCAACAGACAGACTTATCAGGGTCGAATCCAACCTCCTGTACGGGAAGGTTATCATCAGGAGACTCTGGCCGAGACTGTTCATCAAGTAGATCTGGACTGGAGAGCCTGACCAGATGACGCTGCAGTTCCATGAGTAACTGGCTGGCCTTAAGATGTGCCTGAGCTGATGGTATCACCCACATATTGGCTGCTAGTTGCATAAACAGCTGCCTTACAACTTGTTCACGTGCCTCAAGGTCAAGATCAGAATATGGAAGAGTTGCTCCAAGGAGGGTAAGTGCCAACACTCGTGTCCTAACACTGATCATCTGTGGTAGGTGAGTCTCTGCCTGCTCTCCCGTCACTAACAATAATAACCGCACCCAAGGATGCCTGCCAACTAGCTCTCTCACCCTTCGGTTTACACATAAACGACGGACAAACACAAGCAGGTTACCAAGGGTCACTTCCAAATGTCTACGTTTCCTTGCATCTCCTGTACTATTGCTCACTTGTTCTGCATTCAATCCCGGAAGATGTAATTCCAACTTTCTTTGGCCAGCCTTCTTTTCTTTTACATTGGTTATTTCTACATCCATTTCATTTGTCTCAGAGTCTGCTCTGTCCATTGGTGTCTCTTCTGATATCACCTCCACATTCTTCTTCTCTTCAGGAACTGCAGGTTCACTATGGCTGAAACTTGTCCATGAAGTTTCATTGGCTTTAATTATATGGTTTGCCAGGTTTTCCACTTGCAGGTACAGCAGATTCATTACTTGGCCTAGCACTGATGTGCTGATATCTTCAGCATAATACCTTTAACACAGAGGACAATTTTAATTACTTCCATACTGTTCACCACCATACTCAAATCATATTGTTTCTCTTATAAAGATGAAATATTGCATCATCATAATAAACAAAAAATAAACCAAGCACTTTCAAACTACCCAAAGCTCAGATAATAATAATTCCCTAAAATGACATAATAAGTGCTTTCAACACTCACCCTGTTAAGATGGTAAGGATTTGGAAGAGTGTATGTGTAGCATGGGGAAGAAGATCGGAAGGTGATGGGTGCGGAGTGTGTCGCAAAGCCGGAGGGTCGTAGGGGCAGCACATCCGTACCAGGGCATCCAGAAGCCCACTAGAGACAGCTAGACTAAGATCTGCAGCCTCATATCGAACACTCAGTGCAAAGACTGTGAGCAGACACAATCGTTCTCGGAGTCCTGGATTGAAGGGAAAAAATTATTACAATACTATTTAATTAAGTGAGAAACTTCATATGCTCACCTTCCAGTTATACCTTCTTTTATCATATCTTTATGTTTTCAGATACATAACAAAAAGGATTCCCCAATTACAGATTAACAAAAAGTTTTACTCACATTACAGATTAACAGAGGATTACTCAATATCATATTAACAAAGTAATAAAGTGTCTCTGTTCTACATTTTTTTTGAGGGACCATGCATCAAATATTCAACCCTAGCATTTTGACAGCAAGTTATGCATCAGTACTTTGAAGCTTCTGAGATTCCACAATGCCAAGACTTCTGATCTTAAATATCTTAACCATCCCAACCCCTACCCTCAACCCCTCCTCTACCCTACCCTAACCCTTTCACTGATACCCCCATATCCTAATTCCCACCTCTATTCCTATCCTCCCTTCCACCTCCACTTCCACCTCCACCTCCATCTGCACCTCAACTCCCACCCCCACCCCACCAAACCCCACCCCACACCACCCCACTTCCACCCCACCCCCACCCACTGCCCCAACAAAACACCCCAATCCCAATCACCTTTATCTGGCTGTTCGTGCTGAAGGAGAGACGACACCAGATGTTTGTATATAATGTGGACAGTCCTAGCTATTCTCTGCTGCATGGGTTGTGTGGCAGCCCTTATGCCGTCCAGGTAGTGTGTGGCCTCTAGCGATCGAATCAGGGAATAGCTGCTGCTGCTCCACAGGCTCTCCAGGCCGAAGCACCCAGTCATGACCTCGTGGTAAACCTGCGAAGGATTTTAAAATCTGAGCTGAGCGCCAACATCATTATTCGGGTATTGCAAGCACTTAAGTCAGTGGCTTCACATTTGTCAGGATGTCTTCTTCAAGTGACAAAACCTGTTGTATTCCAGACCAAAATGATAAGTCCAGGTATATATCTGGGTGTGGGCATGGGTGTGGGTGTGGGTGTGGGTGTGGGTGTGGGTGTGGGTGTGGGTGTGGGTGTGAGTGTGAGTGTGAGTGTGACTGTGAGTGTGAGTGTGAGTGTGAGTGTGAGTGTGAGTGTGAGTGTGAGTGTGAGTGTGAGTGTGAGTGTGAGTGTGAGTGTGAGTGTGAGTGTGAGTGTGAGTGTGAGTGTGAGTGTGAGTGTGAGTGTGAGTGTGAGTGTGAGTGTGAGTGTGAGTGTGAGTGTGAGTGTGAGTGTGAGTGTGAGTGTGAGTGTGAGTGTGAGTGTGAGTGTGAGTGTGAGTGTGAGTGTGAGTGTGAGTGTGAGTGTGAGTGTGAGTGTGAGTGTGAGTGTGAGTGTGAGTGTGAGTGTGAGTGTGAGTGTGAGTGTGAGTGTGAGTGTGAGTGTGAGTGTGAGTGTGAGTGTGAGTGTGAGTGTGAGTGTGAGTGTGAGTGTGAGTGTGAGTGTGTGAGTGTGAGTGTGAGTGTGAGTGTGAGTGTGAGTGTGAGTGTGAGTGTGAGTGTGAGTGTGAGTGTGAGTGTGAGTGTGAGTGTGAGTGTGAGTGTGAGTGTGAGTGTGAGTGAGTGAGTGAGTGAGTGAGTGAGTGAGTGAGTGAGTGAGTGAGTGAGTGAGTGAGTGAGTGAGTGAGTGAGTGAGTGAGTGAGTGTGGGTGTGAATGTGAATGTGAGTGCAAGTTGGAGTTGGAGTATGAATAACAGTATGAAGGTGAATCTGAGTGAGAGCAAGCATGAGTGTGTGGGTGTGGATGTGTACACACATGTGCACTCTCATGACTGTGTGTATGGGCATAAGTATATACTCCACCCAAGTTCATCTTCCTTACAGAAGGCAAGAGAGATCCACACGTCTTTTCCAGGGAGGCGTTCTGTCTGCCGTCCTCCTCACTCTTCTCGCCGTCCTGGACTGGGGTCAGCAGGCTCAACATCAGCTCCAAGGCTTTGAGGCGAGACTGACAAGTAAGAGGAAAAAGGGTCATATTCTGTTATACAAGCTTTACATATTCCCCTGTTCTTAGTCTACAAACACTATCAAAATTATATGGCAGTAAAATAAAATTAATCTGATATCTAAGTAGGTGATTACTTTATACTCACATACTAGTAACCTGAACATGATTTATGATAAGTACTTCTCAAGCAACACCAATTGCACAAACAGAATAGGACATATATCATACAAGCTACAGTTCTTAACCTTACTTTTTTTTTTTTTACATTTGTTTTAAAATATATACCTGATACAGTCAATTATTTTGATAAGTGACAGGAGATACATCATCCCATGCACCATAAAAATAAACATAACTCAAATATTTGCTTAACAGAAAACTGAAAAGCCTTATGGTTCATCAGCAATATCTGTAAAATGAATGTAATCGATTCTGATCAAGCAACAGATCATAACTGCACGACTGTATAATTCATTAATTGTCTCAAAAAATCCACTAGCTCTGAATAAAAAACAGCTCTGAGAGTTGCAACATCACATATGATAACTAACCATCAAAAGAACTATTCAACAATAACCTGCACCATTTCTTCCTTTTATTTTCTGTTACCACATCCTGACCTCTTCAAAGAACACCTACCTCTGCTCTGGCCTGTTGGATGGTCATAGATGCCAGCAGCACCTCTGGTCCTGGAGGAAGGGTGTGGGTGGTTTTAATGTGGGACAGCTGGTGGTCTTCGGCTCCAACGAACCTCAGCACTTCGACGCAACGACCTAACACAATCCCAATCACCTCCTGGATAGATCTGTGGATCAGATACAAATCATCTTCATATCCTGTTTGAATAGTTAATAAAAGTTTGGCCTTTCTACGTGCAGACTTCTTATCATTTTTAACATGCTCTTTCTTCAATAATAGTGTCTCTAATTCTCTTGGGATAAAATATATGACAGACTGAGCATTACACTAGGTTACTGTATAGCTAATGAGACAGACGAAAGATAAGAATCATGAAAATTTGGTGCCCAATTAACACATCTTATCAGTTTCCAAATTTTTTCTCTAAATTTATGCTCTGTCATATCATTATAGAATAAAAGATAAATCAGCCTGAATGTAGTTTCCAGCACAATACAACAACCATAGAAACAAAACCTACAATTCCATTGGTGGTTGGCTGAAGACTTTTGCAGGCTGCACACACATCATCAGAACAAGACACTGGGTAATGATGTGTATATTAGCAGCCTCGTAACTCACGCCCTCCTCTACAGGATCCTGACCACCTTCCTCTGCATCTGTTGAAAAGGTGGAATACAGAGAGTGATGTATATGCACAACCCCCTACATACAATGAATAAAAATGTGGTCAGATATATATCCCTAACTCTCTTTCATAGCATGGGCTGCCTACTAAGAACATTCTATATTTTCTTAATAGTGAAGAATACATACCTTGGTCTTCAAAAGGTCCCTGAGTTCGCATGGCCATCAGTCGTTCCCTCAGCTCACGCACTTCCTCCTGGTCTTCCGTTGACCCTGAAGATTATGAGGATAGAATAACAAAAATATAATATGGATAATTGTTTATAAATGACCATCAGACTCCTACTTACTTTCAACATGATGCGTATTTCAAAGACTGCCAGCTACCCACCTGGTTCATGGTTTAGAGACACTCTGAGAGACAGCATCTGCTCAACCAATTCCACACGAGCGCGTTCTTCATCCTGCGCAGACTCTGATCCGTCTTGCGATCGCTCATGAACTTCTGCTGCAATTACAGAATGTGTTTAGTGGTGCGTCATAATGCACAAGAAGTAGTAATCATAATCATTTAGATTTCATCTGCCTTACTGGAAATAATATCTAAAAAAAAATAATAATAATAACACATTTCATGAGCTGCCTGTCAGAAGTAAATAATGCAATACAAATATACTTCTTGATTTACATTACTACTTCTGTGACTTGATACATGTTTTTTGAGAAAATATAAAAAAAAAAAAAAAAAAAAACATCAATCAATCAATCAATATGAACTCAATGAGTTGTTCACAAAAATTATCAGTTCAAATTGGGATGGAATTGGATTTAGGAAGGAACTAATCAAATTTATCAAACATATATTAAAATTGGTTGGATGCAATGACAGCACTGTTTTTATAGAAAAATAATCATAATACACAAACTATCTTATATTATAGTGACAAAAGTGCAGTAGTGGGACAATGAAGGGGGCCTTAATAAGACGGGACGCTTTCTAAGAATATCCAAAATAAACTCAATTTATCGTATCTCCTGAAAAAACAGTATATATTCATACATGCTCAAGAATTTCCTTATAATAAAATCAGCATTACATTCTTTCTGATGCGCCCACTTAAAGTATATATTCTGAAAGATTAAGTGTACTTCTCTAGGTGAAAAAATCTAACATAGCTACAACCCCAGAATTTTAAAAATCTTGATGCAATTGCAAAATAAAGTAAGTTATCACAATCTCTATTGGGCAAATTTTAAGGACAATACTGTCTGTGTGAAAAACAGTATTTTCTACTGATAGTTTGCATGTTAAAACAATAATAATAATGATATAACTGCACAAATTGCACATTTATTATCAGCTTAAACTGGTAAAACAGCTATATTAGCACAACATCAGTTTCATTTTATGAACAAATAATTTTGCTTTCCTAAGTAAATTATCATGTTGCAAGTATTTAATTTTCTAACTTCATGTTAATTTCATCTCAGACATATTCAAGTATGTGCATTATCCATAAATCAAGGCAGAAAACTTCTCTGCTAAACTTACAAATACATAATTTTTAAAAAATTGTCTTATAGATTTAAAAAAGAAATTGATGTGACAATCAAAACTGTAAATAAATTATTACATGATATATCTATACTTATGAATGGCAAAACACATTGATAAAATGTTGATAAAATGTCAGAAAAAAACTGTCAATTAAAAAAAAAAAAAATAGCATATATAAGTGAATGTGTGATACTGAAGGACATAGTTATCTGAACAAAGGATAAATACAAGGGAAGAGTTGTATTGGGTTTCTACTGTGTCTTCTCACAGGAACTGCCCAGTTTGTATAGACCCTATAGTTCATTCCAACAACTCTGGCGCAAAACTGAAGTTGAAAATGGTCATCTCATCAAAGACTAGCACTATAAAAAAAAAAAATTATTTTGTGATTAATAATGATAATCTTGATGCCAAATACACGTCCAACCCAGAAATCCTTTCAAGAGTCATTTTCACAAAACAAAAATCTTTCTGCACTAGAGTCAGAGGCATGGACTGGAATTAGATATTTCTCTTCGTAAGCCCCAGTTTAGTCCCGTTCTCTCGGGCTATTATTTAGAGCAAGTGGCTTTAAATCCTTGTCTAGGAAGGGAAGCTATACAAAAGAAAAGATGAAATATAATTGGATGTGAGGGTAGAATTGGCCATATATGTCAACCAGTTCCTTCTAAAAGAATCGATCTTAAGCGTTACTATTTCAGTTTAGAAATTGATGATGGGTTTGGTGACCTGAAACAAACTAAAAAATAACTTTTGATAGATCTATCAGTGTAAAGTACATTCTTTATTCTTCTACAGCAGAAAGAGTGTTATATAGATGCAACCAAATGAACAAATAAAAAACGAAAGCATTATAACATCTATTTTACTGACAAAAAGAAAATCTTTTCACTTTTGTAGTATAAAAAACATTCAAAATAAATACAGATACACAAATGAGAAAAGGAAACCCAGGCAGTAAGTATGGCTACAAAAAATCTAAAACATATAATCCTTGTGAACAAACTAAAACTAAAGATGAGTGAATTCGTAATTCACTTCACCGACAAAAATGATAAGTAACACTGCAAGACTTGTGGTAGACAAGTATACAGACAGAGTACGAAAACTAGAAAAATTTATTCATTAATCAAATTCCTTGCTCAGTTGTGAGTGAGGCCATGAAGACCAGGATATGGCATTCAGTTCTTCAAACAGCCTCAAGCTTCAAGCTCCTATTTATCCAGACTCTATACATCATTTGTGCATGTGCATATATAGGTGTACATGAATCAATGAATGTGTGTGTGAGTGTGAGTGTGCTTGTGAGTGTGCTTGTGAAGTGTGAGTGTGAGTGTGAGTGTGAGTGTGAGTGTGAGTGTGAGTGTAAGTGTAAGTGTGAGTGTGAATGTGCATGTGCGTGTGCGTGTGCGTTTGCATGTGCGTGTGTATGTACATATGCATGAGTGTTTATGCATAAAAAAAAGAACATGTGTATGAGTGTGTGTGTGTGTGTGTGTATGTATATATATATATATATATATATATATATATATATATATATATATATATATATATATATATATATATATATATATATATATGTATCTAGGTAAGCAAGTTTTGTGCATGTTTATGCACATGTCCAGCTGCATGTTTAAGTGCATGTATGTGTGCAAGAACACCAATGGGAGAGCTAACCAACAGCATGAGGTCTTAAGTAACGGGACGGGATTTATGCATGCAAGAATGTATGGGTTCTTCGTTTTGAATTTTGTATCCTTAGTCAAACACAGAATTTCATGCAGGTCTTGTAAGTCATATACCTGGTGATGATATAATTTCAGTTGCTATAGCTGGTATTTTAACTGTAAGCAAACAAACATAGACACTTCTTACTGTTGATGCAAGAACACGGTCATATTACAGAAATTTCATTGCCTCACATTTTCAGTAACCCAAACATTGATTCTTACAGCAAAAATCCAGATTTTTTTGTTTTCTTTCTGTTACAATAATACATATATCAAAAAAACTGGTCATGAGTGAAATCATTAAAAATTTGTATTTTTCAAACAAACTTTTAACTGAATCTTTAAACTTTAAATCACAAAAAATGCAATGAAAACCCAGTGCCTACCTGTCGTCTCCTGAGTCTTCAGTGTGACAAGTCGTCTCCTTATATGATACACCAGTCTAAACACCTCTCGCATCACACCACAGAAGTGGAGACTAAAAGAAAAAGTTATTTCACAATGTTAGCAATCACAATATACAGAAGAACTTCCTTTCTTTATCAGACAGTCTAAACACAACACAACTTTTGTACACAGTTAACTCAATGTGCCTTGGTCAGTGCCACGCCCACTGTAATAAAAGTTTATGTATCGTCTTTACATACAGATGGCTCTACAAGTGCTTAGTCACCAAGGAGTCAACTGTTTGTGTTACCTATCTTATCTGTTTACCCTTTTCCTTCATTTTTTTGAAAGCTTCACTTCTACTATTTTATTGCCTTTGATGTTATTAATATCTTAATAACAATTTAATAATCATAAATCAAAATGAATGATAACAATGACAATATTAGTAGTACTGGAAAGAAGAACCCACTTTCCAGCCAATTCAAGGAATGGGGAAATCAGGATCGGTCACAACTGATAGACTCCTTGCTGCTGAGCACACGTGGAGCTATCTGTATGTAACAAAACTCACTAAAATCTAAAGGGGACAGTAAATAAGCCCACTGACATGGGGTTAATTCAGATTTCTTCTTTCTTATAAATCCATTGACCAAAGAAGCACAATCCCATCAAACTATCATGAAAATCAAGTCCATGAGTGATCTCCATGCCTAAAGTTTAGCTACTAAACACTTGGGCAGCACACTATCCACTACTATACTACTACTAAACTGAAATGTCATTTTACCACTGGGTTGGCATACTCCTTACCTGAGCTGTGACTGAGAAATTTCCGAGTGCATTAGAAAGGTGGAGAGCAGAAGGTGTGTCGACGTGTCCAGAAGTGGGTCATCCTTCACCTCACACGTGTCCCAGTCTTCCCCACACGCCATTTCCTCCATCCACAGCATCATTTGGCTCTCTATTCCAGAGGCAACATCATCTCATCATACAAAAAAGTGGAAACTCAAAGTACAAAAAAACCTCCCAACTTCTAACAAATATAGCTCATTGGGTGATTGCTTTTTCTTAAAGACATTTAGGTACAAAAATCTCATCTGATTTTTATTTTTTATTTTTTACAATAAATTTTCACAGAACTACTGGGATCTTAAAACAATGAGAAATAAATTTTCAAATATTAATTCAATACTGCAGGGTACCTACCTGTATCATGAGCTTCAATTTCAGCAAATGATTTCACTTACTACATACCTGACTCAAGAACCGTTGCAAGTTGCGGGAAGGCTGCTGTCATATTCTGCAGAGCTTCAATCACAAGTTGTTTCCCACACTCAACAATACTTATGACATAATTGATGGTTCGGGTAACTTTGTCTGTGAAAAAGATAATATAAAAAGTATAAAATTAGACTGTATTCTTTATTTTTGATGGACACCCACAATATTATCATTTAAAATCCTTGCAAGCCATTCCCTTTCTTGAAAAATCACACTATTTTGAAAATTATGACATACACTCTCAATGAGTGAATTAAACATACTCACCTGGACATAAATTTTCCACAGCAAGACCACTGCAGAAGAGCTGTGAGGAGAGCCAAGGTTTACAACGGACTTCATTTGGTGTCAAAGGTGGACCAAGCAGCATCCCTTCTAAGCAGCGACCAACCACAAGTCCACAGGCTCGCTCTACGTCCAACAGCCAGGCCCACTGACGACCAACAACCCCGCCACCAACACTTTTAACAGTATCAGGGGTGGGCGTGTCAACTTCTGTAAAAGAAAAGCATCTCTGTTTATTGTGTCAAACAATAAACTTATACAATCAGAGACTGATGAAGCACCTAACACATTCCTGCTACATTTGGGGACAGATTAACTGATGTTGCCTGAAGCATGTTCTCAACAACCTTCAGACATTCAAATTTTTACCTGTAAATGCTTGTAATGCCCAAAGGGTCTTCAGTACTATGTTTCTTGTGCAAACATGTGTATATGTACATGTAGATACATATATATCTATGTATCTAAATCTCTCTACTTATCAATTCTTTCATCTTTCTAAACACAGTCTAATCTTTACCCATTATTTTTTGCCTTTGAATAACTCTAATAATTATAACAACTAATATAACACTGTTTGATTTCAAACTATGTGATTTAACATTTGATACAAAACAAAAAACACACACCTGAGGTCACATCTTCTTGGTCAGTAAAAGAAGTGACGGAAGCTATGGTGCGATTTGTCGAGTCCAGGATGGGGAGAATGGCTCTGAGGGGGCCAAGCAGAGGCCGAACCAGCCTGGCCGGGAAAAGCAGAAGGGCATACACAATGTGGGCCATGACCCAGCCACACACACTGCGGTAGACAACATCTGAAAAACACAATGCCTTGTTTATGCATGACAAGAAAATGTACCTCTTACCCTACAGAGAGAGAGATATATAATGGGAAGAACAAATTAGACATACAGCATTTACTCAATAGTAACTGTGACAAGGGCAACTACAATAAAGAAAGAAATATCATAGTCCTTCAGTTAACACACTTAAAACAGCATCCACAGACAGACTCACCATGAATGAGATGAGCGAGTCCGGGATGCGAGGCCAACAGCTTGGACGTCTGTTTCAGCAGTTCACCGCACACCTCCAACAGTTCACTCAGATGATCATATAAGAGATGCATGCTCGCTGACTTCTGACAACAAAGCTTCGTTTTAATATGAAAGAGAAAGAGTGGCAACAGGGCTCTGTTATTTTTCTCCTAAATTAAATCAGAAATATGACTGCTTTCATTCAACACTTCATTATGACTACAAGAAACAAGAAAGGATCTTTAAGTACTTTTTTTAATTATTGGTTTTTCAGTATTTTAAAAAATCAAAAATAAATAAATAAATAAATAAATAAATCAAGAAAGAAAGAAAAAAAAGAAAGAAAGAAGGAAAGAAACAAACAAACAAACAAACAAACAAACAAATAAATAAATAAACAAACACTTAAACAAATAAATAAATAAATAAATAAATAAATAAATAAATAAATAAATAAATATATAAATAAATAAATAAAATAATTAAATAAATAAAATAAATAAATAAGTAAATAAATAGAAAAATAAATAAAATAAATAAACAAATAAACAAATAAATGAATAAATAAATAATTAAATAAAATAACTAACTAGCTAACTAACTAAATAAATAAGTACACAATAAATAAAATACTGTGCTTACATGAAAATGAGCATGAAATCACTGACAAAATAACTCGTCTCTGGTTTGCAATCTATGCAATTAAGAAATCTGGTCATCCTTGTGACACAAAGACAGACAAAACTTCCTGGAAACAGTTTCTTCAACTATTTACAGATACTCACCTCTTCGAACTGATGGTGAGTACAGTAAGCCAGGAGGTGTGAATGAAGTGTGGATAACAGGCGAAGCAGATGCTGAGGATGAGTACCCCCGAGCTGCGAGTCTATATACTGGTGTCTCGTTTCATAGCTGCTGGGCCCCACTTTGTCCTTGCCATAATCCTGAATGGCTGGAATGATCAACAGGTTCCAGGATTAATTGTAATCAATCTTCTTTATCTATGTAAAAATCAATCACTCAATGAACCTATGAAACTACTTGTGTATATATGTGTATCTGTGTCTGTCGGTTTAACCCAATGGTCATGGATGGTATAGTTATAATGTGGATTGTAATTTTAGTTTATTAATTAAATTCCTACATAAATGGCATCCCAAGCGCTTAGTCACTAAGGAGTCAAGTGGTTGGTGGCTGAGAACTAGTGGCACTGAAGCAACAGTATTAACAAAAAACTGCAGTGGACAGTACATGAATCTGCAGCCAATGAGTAAAATATGTCTGTCTCTATATGTGTCTTTGAGTCTACAGATCTAATGTTCTGCAACTCTGTTCATTAGTCAGCTTGTTGGCTGACTACCTACATGCACAAGTCATTGTATGTTTACGTGCTATTAAGGGCCCTATCACACTAGCCCTTTTTCCATCAGTTTTTGCATTTCCAAATGCAATTTCCATATGCAAATGGACTGACCCTATCCCACTACCAAGGCAACAAACATAGTGCCCATGTAAACAAACACAGCACCATCTGAGTGAGGTATTGGGAATCACACATATCAATTTACATCAACATTTTGATTTACAAATAAAAAAACATTCTAGCTGTACAGTTTCTCCATAGTAAGAAATGGTTGCTATGATTTCTGTCAGGAAGGTGTTTCCCTTGCAATCAATGCTTGTGGAAAGCCTCAACTTAAGATGGAATTGCAAAAATTGCCAGAAAAAGTCTTAGTATGATATGGTCTTAATACAGTGACAAGTACATCTGAGAGAGCCAGTTGCTGAATAACCAACTCACCAATGGTTGGTAATTTTTGTTGTCCTTGCTGCATTCCAGGAGAGCTCTCTGGACACGCAGCCTGAGGCTCTTGTACCGAGGTCACTTGCGGTCCCTTCATTTCCACATCATAGCTGGCTTGCTGGGTCGCCGGTTGGCAAATGTGACGGGTGTCTTTAAGGAGCCCACTTTTGGCTGGCTTTTCTTCCTCAAGGATCTGATTTAACTGGTGTTCCTATGGAGGCAAATTCTTACTTACAAGTTTGCTACATCATTTCCAATAACAAGACAGATAGACCGACAGATAAATAAACATATAATAATAGGATTTAAATCACATGAGTCTTCAATATTTCTAGGATCATTTGCTTGACTACACATGAAGTTAGGCCACAAAATACCGACAATGATTTATAAAACAAGAAAAAATTATACTCACTGCATGGAATCTCAGATTTGCCAACAGTGTGTGCATGAGGTCTTGAGGCAGCGTAGTAGATGAGCCGTGTTGCATAGAAGGGGCATCCTCAGGGGACCCATAACCCAGCAGAGCAGCTACATGGCTGTGGTCTTCAAGACTCACTACCAGAATTCCAAGTTGCAGACGCTAAAGGGAAGATGGAAACACAAATCACTTTCATAATTCCATGTCCAGATGCTCTATCAAAGTCAAGAATCAAGTGATATTTATCATAATTACAATCTGAAACCACCACAGGAAAGTCAGAAAGCTAATTATATTACAATTCCAAGTAGTAGACAAAATTAGAAAGGCCGAGACATGCATCAGGCCCTATAAAAAAAGAAAATCTAAAGCAAAAAACAAATGCAAAACATTCTCAACATCAAAGTACTGTCCAATATTCACCTGGCCACGAGAGAGCTGCCCCCAGTCTTCCGGCGACTTCGGAAGGAGGTTGTAGAGGAGGCTCATGCGAGAGGCTAGAGGCGGCAGGAGGAGAGGCGAGCTAAGTCCTTCACACACGCCTGCCTCTATTGCCCGGGGTAACTTCGCATCTACTAGTCTGTTAGAAGGAGGTTATGCAGATTATTAGAAGTCTTTTTATGGATTCTATAAGATTACTTTAGCGCTCTTCATCAAATCAGAAGAAAAGGTATATTCTAATCTGAAAATATGCAATAAAATATTCATAAAATAAGCAATAATGGATACCAGCTCTTGAAGAAGTTTCCCCACTAACATCATGGAAGCGCCTTTACCACAGCTATCTAAGTTTTGTTCCTTGACAATATTTCACAAAGAACATATGCCACATCCCACCTGAAGAGCAACTGCCGAAGGGGTGCTGCCTCCGATCCCAGAACTGTCTGTGTCATGCCCCCAGTCAGAGCTAGTGATAGGTGTGTGTTGAGCAGCTGCAAACACAGGAGCACAAATTTCTCTTGCTCTCTGTAAAATAAGGTATATCTTACTCTCACCTGATAGAACAATAATTATTCCTTGTATTCCTTAACATAATAGGATATGAAAATTAAATCAGAAATTTGGTACTATTGCTGCAACAAAATGTACTTTTAGGAATATTCCTATAATCAAGGGAAGGACATATAAAAAAATCATGCAAACTTACCTGACAGAAGCAAATGGTTTTACAGGCTGTTCAGTATCGTCAAAGCAGCAGTAAAGCTCAATGAATGTACGTAGCAGAGAAAACGTTCCTTCCTGCAGATCAACGCAGAATGGCCGGTGCCAGGATACCACTCGTCTGCAGCAAAAACAGTTTCATTAGAAATAATAATAATGAAATAAAATAAATAAATAAATACAAACTATCACCAAAATCTACTTCAGTTCTGCAAGTTCCACTTTCTCCACATCTTACAATCAATTTGTCCCTTATTGCATATTTCCAAAACATCTTATATTTCTCATCCATTGACTACATATATATAGTCATATGAACAGCTTGACCACCGACCATAGGACAACATTCTTTGCACTGTGATTGCACCACATTACCGATCAGTTGGTATGGCTGTCCAAGCCATAGAATGTGTGGTTCCTGCACTGATTTGATGCACGGCAACATCTAGCCCCATAACTTTCTTTGGTCTCGTAATGGGCGATACTGTGTGTCCCTGGCCACACTGGCCCATTGTGTTTGATCCCCAGGCATAAACCTGAAAGAAGGCCATTCATTATGATCATTACATTTACACTTGCATTACTGGACATCTTATTATTTCAACAAACAGAATACCAGAGAATCTTAACCATATGTTTTGACCACATAATATGCTTTCACAGTAAAAAAAGGACGACTCCTCCCACCTCGCCTTCATGGGTCAGTGCAAGAGCGTGTGAATCTCCCGCAGAGATGTCGACAATCCTCAGCCCTGCCAGCTCCTCAATGGGACGAGGCCTGAGCATGGTTGCGTCGGACGACCCCAGGGCCAGACAGGCTCCCGACCCCCAAACCCATACCTGAAAATGTGTGTTGTCACCTCCCTGGACCTGTTCCATGGGTCACACAAGGCAGAAAAACATCAGCAGGGCAGCAAGAGGCACAAGGGGGATTGATTACAGCTTTTTACATTTCTAAAACCGTATTTACATGAGGGATACGTGATATTAAAATTATTGTGGACAAATAATAAAACGAGAGTGACAACAGGGCACTACCAAAGACAAGGATTTTTCTAAACAATTTTTTTTTCTTTGCTTCATAATATTTACATAGATTTGGTAATTTCAATGCAGATCAATACATAAACTGATTTTCCTGAGGAATTTTAAAATCTAGAAAAAAAATATTGATTCAAAAGGTAATTTGGTTACAAGACAATACAAAAAAAATCTAATTACTTGCTCAAATAGCTCATTGCAAGAACTGTTCACTTAACGTTAGGAATTCTACTAAAACCACATTAACATTCATAATATATCTGGGAGATTAATATTCAGTGTAACCTAGAAAAAAATAATCATTGAATATGGTAAGTGTCCTCCTTGTCTACTACTAATCATGCATAACAAAATCAAACAATGAGTATACAGCTTTTGGGATTTAAAAAGAACTGTTAAATTATAAGTATAAAAAGAAATAATCCACAACATTTAATATCAAAACTTAATAAAAAAAAATATATTATCCCATGAAGCTGCATGATGAATGCATGCAAGCAAAAAATCATATAAAAATATATATGGTTTGTCAGTCCTGTCACTGTACAGTCTCTAATCTGTTAGTCATCAATATCCTGAAGCCTTTAAATCTATGAAAAAGTCAATCGTCACACAGTTAATTATATACACAATAGATACCTGCCTCCTACATTGATATACACAGATATACAAAGAGAGTGTGTGTGTGTGTGTGTGTGTGTGTGTGTGTGTGTGTGTGTGTGTGTGTGTGTGTGTGTGTGTGTGTGTGTGTGTGTGGGTGTGGGTGTGGGTGTGGGTGTGGGTGTGGGTGGGAGTGTGTGTGTGTGTGTGTGTGTGTGTGTGTGTGTGTGTGTGTGTGTGTGTGTGTGTGTGTGTGTGTGTGTGTGTGTGTGTGTGTGTGGGTGTGGGTGGGAGTGTGTGTGTGTGGGTGTGTGGGTGTGTGGGTGTGTGGGTGTGTGTGTGTGTGTGTGTGTGTGTGTGTGTGTGTGTGTGTGTGTGTGTGTGTGTGTGTGTGTGTGTGTGTGTGTGTGTGTGTGTGTGTGTGTGGGTGGGTGTGGGTGGGTGTGGGTGGGTGTGGGTGGGTGTGGGTGGGTGTGGGTGGGTGTGGGTGGGTGTGGGTGTGTGTGGGTGTGTGTGGGTGTGTGTGTGGGTGTGTGGGTGTGTGGGTGTGTGGGTGTGTGGGTGTGGGTGTGGGTGTGGGTGTGGGTGTGCAAAAGTGTGCAGGTGTGCACATGCACACATGCATATGCACATGTGTGTGGCATGAATATGAATATACGTGTGCATATGAGTAGTGCCTTGTTTTCTGCTTACTGCTTATTACCACATTACAAAGTGGTTTCTCATTCTAAATTCCATGCTTTACACAATCCATTTTCTGACAACTGATGTTTCACCCCTGATAATAAAATTTAGGGCGTGCACACTGATAGTGCAGGTTCAAACTCCCAGATAACAGAACCAACCTATACCAAAATTAATCCACACAAACAAACATAGGTACACTGCAGAGGTGGGTTCAAGCTGATTTGTTCATTATTTTCTTTGAATGAATTATTCCTATCTGCTCAGTCCACATAGGTAACCATGGAGAAGATAAGAATGAATTTGAGATCTTGATGACTACTGCATTTCAAAAGGCCCTCACTGTGGGGGAAGAGGAATGAAATATGTGCTTTCAAAAATGTTATAATAAACATTCATCACACTGTGCTCTTTGCAATTGTTATCAGACAATGAGCATGGCTTCTGCACTTGGTGAGTCATAAAAGACAGCTCATTCTGCAACCCTTGTCCCTAACCCTGGTGTCAGTGGCCAGCACTTGGGCTATCTACTTTCTTTGTGTGCACTCCAAAAATAACAAAACAAAATGCACAAACCTTCTCTTCCAAAACTACCTATCAGGCAGTTGGTGTGCATCTATCACTTTTTAATCTTTACTGGTAAATGCTTGTAATGGCCAAAGGTTCTTCAGTACTATGTTTCTTAAAGGGACAGTAGTATACAACAGCCACTAGTAAAAAGTTCCACCCTAACACTCGCAATATTAGTTCCTCTCCTTTCATATTCTGTTTGGTACACAAGCTAAGCCTTCATATCCGTCAAACATATCATTTACTCTGCCCAAAGTAAAACAAAACAAAAACAAAATCAGTTTCCAGAAAAATGGTTCTCTGGCTTCAATATTATCCTGTTTGCCTTTTCAACTTTAAAAAAAAATTCTCCTTAACCCTTTGTGCTGAAACTGCATGCCTAGTCCAAAATGATTTCAACTTACTGAATGTGTTTACACACATGACTCCACCAACGAGTCAATTACTAGTCTTACTTATCTCACCTGTTTACCCTTCTTGATTTTTGGATTTTATTTTTGCATTACTCTTTATTACTATTAGTATTTTCATAATGTAATAATATCAATGACAATTATAACAGCACCAACTTTGATAGCTAAAAGATAGATAAAAGAATCGCTTCCAAAAAAATGAGGAATTGGGAAATCAGGTGAGATTATACTGAGCTATTGACTGACTCCTAAGTGGTCAAGCACTTGTAGAGCCATCTGTGTGCTACAAAATTCACAGTGGACAGCATATATACCAACATACAAAGAGTTAACAGCCACTCTTTTAAATCCCCTTGTAAAAATATAACCCTATTTTTAATTCATAAAAAGATATAATCCTCCATTCATTTCTGAAGACTAACTTTTTCCAAAAATGTTTCACCCTTGTTTCATAATAAAAGTTCCTACTGAATGTATTACATATACTTAAACTTCAAGCTCATATAAATACACCTAAATTTTAGTTTTATTACTGTTACTCTACGTACAACTTCATACTAAGAGTAGTAATCCATTAGTTATGGTCAATAAGTCAATAAAATCTGCTATACACCTTTCCTTCAAATTCACATACAAATAATTGAAAGATGTACACAAAGCTGGAATTGTTTGTCACTACATACCGGGCTTCTGACTCACGTTCACTTCTATCAAGTGACTTTTAAATCACTTATGTTATGTAATCCACACATAATTGTTTACCGAGTACATAAATATATGTGAAAATTTTAAATAAAGTTTATTCATATATGCTTCAGTGTTCTTATATATGTTAGTTAAGTGACTCATTCATGCATTTCAATTCTAACTAAACAGCAGTCCTACTCAGACCAGCAAATGACTACACTAAGACTATAAAATACCCTTGATAACTCTAAAAAATGGTACTGAGGTTATGTCACTTTACAGTGGAAAAAAAGGAGAGAAATCATCATCATGCTCAATAAACTCATCAGTGATAAAAAGCTTATCATCCTTACTCTAGCAAGCAGTAGAGTAGATATGGTGTTAAACAATTACAAAACCCTCATTAGTGGAAAAAAGTCATAAATCAACAAATCTAATCTGTTAACTTAAAAAAGCTAATCAACTCTATACACACTACTAATAAAAGTAACCTCATTAAATATTTTTAAAAAACGCCACAGAGGGAAACTAAGTACATACAGGTGTGTTAACCGAGAGAGGAAAATAGGAAAGAGCTTGCCGACAGTAGTTACAGACAAGCGGTGGGGTGGTTGGAGGAGAGGAGTGAAAGGAGGGAATTCTGGATGCGAAGCTAATGTCCCTGCCTTCCATACTGCTGATGTTTGTCTCCAAGCTGAGAGGTTTATCTTCGGCCTCTGACAAATACTGCTGCTCATTACTAATCACAAGTTATAGTACTATATCAGTCAATTTATCAGTCAATCAATTAATTTATTAAGTAGTCAATATATGTATATAGAGACAGAGCTAGAGAGTTAGACACATGGCCAATTCTTCATTACATAAAACACATAATGCTTATTTCAATTTCAATTTTGTGTGAAAATGAACACTAAAAATAACTCCTAAGTAACATTTATCAGGTTCATTCATAATCATCCTCATTTGAAAGGGCTGAAAGTTTCTGAAAAGAGATGAGGTAAATACATTTCACAGTTTCATTCAAACCTAACAGGTTACTTCTGGTAACATTATTAATTTGGTGTACCCAAATATCAGCAAAATCAATCTATAAAGCAGAGATAAAATCAAAGAAATGTGCTCTAGCACCCAAGTCAAAAGTACAGTCACAGACAAAATTCTTGTTAAGCTTGTTTCAAATTGCCTCAGCAGTCACATAATCTGACCCCTGTTGGTTGGGGCTTCAAAGCTTCATTCACAGTATGACCTTTGTCCTAGACTGTACATATACACTACAATAAAGACTGCTGTACAGCTTTGGTGACAAAATCTGTACGCACCTTATAAAATCCCCACTGAAAACAAGAAGAAAGAGAGAAAAACAGGATGACACCTTTCTTCCTTTGAACAGGAACAGCTAAATATTTCTGCTCTTGTTTTCTTGGCTGGCAAATGAGCTTCCTCTGTTTTAAGTTTTGGTTTTCAAATTTTCAAAAGATTTGTTTTCTCAGCAAAAGGAACCTATTGAAAAGTCATGCTCTATAAATAAAATAATCACAGTATTTCTCAAAAAGGAAAAAAAAAATATTTGCCCATTGTGAGAAATGGAGAAAAGCTATGAATGAGAAAGGATACATTAACAAAACTTCATTAGAATTACAAAACATTTTCATGAAGATGTAAAATCAGAACTTTAAGAAGATAAAACACTCAAAATAATCAATTACATCCCTTGCTCTGTGAGATCATTCATACTCATTCACACCATTTTTACACTACTGTTGTAGAGTAAAAACAAATATACAACCAATCAGCAGCCACTTCAACTATGAATTCATATGATACCCTCTTAAACAGCAAACTCCAATAATGCAATTACATTCAAACATAAAAGCTTTTCAATAGTTGGGGCATTTGCTTTTTTTCATCTCTCCACTACTGTTAAAACTTAGATACACAATGTAATGGAAGCATACCACAAAGGGCTACCATGACCATCATATATATGTTACAAATCAGGTACCTTTTAACCCACGGCCACTGAGGATGGCATGTTCATACACTAAACTCACAGTGGGCATGGCATATATATATTATATATATAATATATATACATATATATGATATATATACATATATACACATATATACAGATATACATATACATTTATACATATACATATATACATATATACATATATATATACATATACATAGATATATATACATATACATACATTTGTATATATATGTATGAATGAATGTATGTATGAGTGTACGTATTTATGTATGTATATATGTAAGTACATATGTATTTATGTTAGTATGCATATATGTATATATGTATATATACATATGCATACATATACATACATATATACATATATATAAATACATATATCTATATATCTGTATATATATTTACACATACGCGCGCGCGCACACACACACACACACACACACACACACACACACACACACACACACACACACACACACACACACACACACACACACACACACACACACACACACACATATACACACACACACACACACACACACACACACACACACATATACACACACACACACACACACACACACACACACACACATACAGATATAATTATATATACAATACAAATATATACATGGATATATATATATATTATATATATAATTATTTATACAATACAAATATATACATGGATATATATATATATATATATATATATATATATATATATATATATATATATATATATATATATATATATTTATACATATATATTTATATATATATTTATATATATATATTTATATATATATATTTATATATATTTATATATATATATATATATATATATATATATATATATATATATATATATATATATATATATATATATATATATATATATATATATATATATATATATGAATGACTTCCTTTTTCAAACCAGCATTTAGCCTTCTACACGAAAGAGCATTTTTAAGGCATATATGTAAAAGACCACACTTAGCATAACACCACTCTAAAATTCAAAATATCACCAGAGTTAGGAAATACTTACTCAGTTAGTAGCATGTTCCTAGAAGAGCTTTATATGTCTGTTTGTTTATTAATGTTAACATGGCACATGTCCATCAATACATTTACAGAAACATACAGAAAGCAGCCAACTCTCCAGCCTTTAGCTTCTACAAATCGACTATCACTGCCTGGCTTTTTGAAGGGAACATGCTTCAGCATTAAAGGAACTCTGGCAGACTTAGGAAATTCTGTGCATTCCTTTCGATGCTAAACCAAAAGCCAGTAACTTAGCTGCTGAACTTAAGCCTGAGTATCTTTCAAGTGGACCAAAGTAAGCAAGAAAAGCAATTATCAACAAAAAATATTATGGAATAGTGTGCCATTAACTCCTTCAGCAATGTATACAACCCTCCTTCTATCTTTATCACTATTCCAAAAGAGTGAATTTGTGTTATAGATTGTATGATATGTAATAACTATATAAAAAAAAAAATCAACAGAGGATTGATTTACTTAGCCTTGATAGAGCCACTACACTTATAATACCAAGGTGAGAGAAAATACAATCTGCTTCAAGTGCAAGAGAATGATGGGTCTTTTCCGGAGTGACATGAATGATCACTGAATATTCATTCAAAGACTCATCTGATAAAATATATGGATGTATTTGCAATGGTGCTGCTGATGGAAAAAAAAAATCATCCAGTGTTTATCAGAAACACAAACTTCTTGGGTCTTCTTGCCAAGCATCAACAAAGCTAATATAGTACAAGCACACTCATATTCTTGAAGAGTCTGCAAGGGTCATGAAAGCAAAACTGAAGACTAAAGGATTAAGCGAAGAAGTTTTACCAAGAGCACAAATTGTAACACCAGGATGGATGCACAGCAATGGTTGTGACATTCAAATATGAATCTTTTTAGTTCTACCACACTCACAATGCACACAACTGACCAGTACCTTTTGGCTGAAAGCACAATATTTGTAAAAAAAAAACAAAAAAAAAACTATACACTGAAATAAGTCTCTGTCATGTTTGTCATATGTCTTTCCTGATTTCCAGTTAACCATTTAAAAGCTGCTTCTATATAGCAGTAGATTCGACACATTCCTAAAAGTATAAATAATTACTATGCAATTGCATATTGACACAGGACACTAAAATCTATCTCACAAATACTTAAAACAATCTTGATATCTTTAAACTTATATTTTCATACAAGTTGCTGTTGTAAGGCACTAACCAACTCAACCACTGGATTGCTTTTGTAATTACTTACCAGGAAATTTGCAACCTACTCATACTTCTACACCAGCTTAAATACTCAAGAATGGTTATGTCTTAGAATAACAGTATCTACCAGCATTCAGAATTCAATATACTGCATGATGAGACATTACTAACCTGCCCATGAGCCGCTAGAGCAAAAGATACTTGGGTTCCTGTCGTCAGTTTCCGGATGGTGAGCCCTTGCAGAGCCTCAATGACTCGAGGACGATAGACTTTCGCTGTATCGCCATGGCCTAATTTACCATGGTCACCTGTGTGGACAAGGATGGACTTTACTACCGGACTAAAATAAATTTCTCTCTCTTTCTCTTTCTCTTTCTCCTTCTTCTCCTTCTCCTTCTTCTCCTTTCTCTTTCTTTCTCTATTTCACTCTTTCTCTTTCTCACTCTTTCTCTTTCTCATTTTTTCTTTTTCTCACTCTTTCTCTTTATCTCTCTTTCTCATTCTCACTCTTTCTCCTTCTCTTTTTATTTTTATTTCTCTCTCTCTCTCCCTCTCCCTCTCCTCTCTTCTCTT